CTAACCCATGAGTCATCTCTCTGGCCCTTTGTGAGTGTGAGTGTGTGTGAGCATGAGTGTGTGAGTGTGTGTGAGTGTGTGAGTGTGTGTAAGAGAGAGAGAACAAGAGAGAGGGGGGAAGAAAGGGAAAGAGAGACAGGTGCCACAGCGCTCAAATATAGGTCAGAGGACAACTTTCAGGAATCAGTCCTCTCCTCCTAATGGGTGCATCACAGGAATTGAACTCAGATCATCAGGTTTCGTACCATGCATTCTTTCCAGCCAGTTGCCAGGGCCCCGCCATTGTCTCTGCCGCCAAATAACACACGAGACACTATATTAATTGTAAAGCTGTTGACTGTTTGCTATGGTTTCTTAATGGCTGGCTCTGACTTAATTATTAACCCATAATTACTAGTATATATTTTTATAAGGTCTTATCTTACCGAGAATGCCAGACTTGTGTCCTCTTCTCCCAGGATCACATGGTGACTCTCCACTCTTGACTCTCCACATTTCCCAGAATCCTCCTCAACTCCTAGTCCTACCTATCTTGCTTCCCAATTGGCCAACAGTGCTTTATTTATCAACCAATCAGACAAACATATACACAGAAGGACTTCCCCCATCAAGCCTTGGTGGCAAGCACCTTTACCTGCTGAACCATCTCACAGGCCCTGTTGTTTAATTTCTCTTTAAAAGGTTTCTTATACACGCACGGGCGTGCACGTACACACACCCTCACCCCCGAGCTAGCTCATGCACTGTTTTGTTTGTCTGTCAGTATGAAATGAGCTCAGGTCATCCGGGAAGAGGAACCCAATTTCTCAGTTGAGAAAATGCCTCCATCAAATTGTCCCGTGGGAAAGTCTGTGGGGTGTTTCCTCGACTGAGGATCCATGTGGGAGGGCCCAGCCCACTGTGGGCGGGGACACCCCTGAGCAAGCAGACCCCTGGGCTGTCTAAGAAAGCGGGCTAAACAAACCTGGAAATCAAGCAGGTGAGCAGCACTCCTCACGGCCTCTGCTTCCGGTCCTGCCTCCAGGTTCCTGCCCTCGGGGATGGACTGTGCTTAGGCATGCAAACCAAATAAGCCCTCTCCTCCCCAAATTGCTTCTGGTCATGGTGTCTTTATCATGAAATAGAAAGTGACTAGGGCAGTGTGGATGCTGACAGAGGTCAGAAGGGGGTGTCGGGTGTTGGAGTTGTATGTGGTAGCCGTTAGTCACCCAAGGTGGGCGCTGAGACCCACGGCAAGCACTCTGAACTGACGAGTCACCCCCTCCAGCCCTTCCTTTAATTTATATTTTGTTTTGAGACAAGGTTTCTCTGTGAAGCCCTGGCTGTGCTTGCTGTAACTCACTCTGTAGACCCGGCTGGCCCCGAACTCATAGATCAGCCTGCTTCTGCCTCCTAAGTGCTGGGATTAAGGGTGTGTGCCACCACTGCCTGGCTCCCTTATTTTATTTTTGAGGAGATTATGTAACTTAGGCTAGCCTCAAATCCCCTACATACCCAAGGACGGCCTCAAACTCCTGAACCTTGTGCATCTACCACCTGAGCGCTGGGATTACAGATGTGCACCATTAGACACCAGTTCATTAGCACTGAGGATTGAACACACGGCCTTGTACATACTAGGCAATCATTCATTCTACCAACCAAGCTACATCCCCAGCCTTGATGCCAGAGGATGAACTTTCTCACTTGGCTCTGCAGGGAAGGGGCTGTTCTCTAAGACCACATCCAAGCTGGTTGGGAAGCTCTGAGGGTCACTGACTCTGTCACTCCACAGGGACAGCAAGCTGGCTTCAAAGCCTCTCAGGTCTCTGTCTGGAGATAGCAGACAAAATGTAAGGCAATGAGACCTCCAGACGTTCAGCCAGCAGTTCTGGGAGGAGCCCAGGGCCCAGAACGAAGAGGAACAAGGTGTAGTTTTTTCTTAGCATCAGGTGAGCCGGCCCAGTGTTGACTCCAGTGTTGGGTGAGGCAGCCCCCACTCAGAGCTTGTTGACGGTGAGCCTGACTGGAGTGGACCTCAGGCTTCGGATGCTGAGCCAGCTAGAGCGAGGGATGCTGGGAACCAGGGAATCTTCCAGACCTGACAACTTTTCCTTGCCCTGGGCAATTATAAAGCCACAAATCACAAAGAAATGGTGGTGTCAGCACCTTGGGGACCCTAATGGAAATCCTGCACTATCAAAGTTCAGTCAGTCGGCTGAGCTGGCATGAGGTCAAGGCAGTGAGTCTGGGGTACACGGTGAGGCTGGGATGGGTGAGGATGTTACAGGCAGGACCTTCGGAGTCTGACAGACACCTTCTGTCAGCCCCCTGTTTTTAGACCTTCTGAAACAGTCCTTTGGACCCACTGGGGTCAGCGTCCTCCTTGGGCACTGAATCTCCAACAGGTTCCACTGTGACTGGAAGGGTATGGGAGCTGGTGGGCTTGCTCTGCCTCGTGTGTGAATGCAGTGGAGTGGGGTGGTCCGAGTCATATCTACACGGCCGTTCCCAAAGCCCTCAGCAGTGCAGGACAGTGACAGAACTTAGCACTGGCAGGGTGGAGGCAGGGAGGCAGGAGAATCAGGAATTCACAGTCATCTGTGGCTATATAATGAGATTCTATCAAAGGGGGAGGGGCAGTGGGAACAGGGGCAAGGACAGAGCTGGGCCACCTTGGACAGCCACAGAAGGCCCAGAGCACAGACACTTACTCACTGGATGTGACTTGCCATCCTGCAAACCTCTCCCGCTTCAGAAAAACGGGAAAAGTGACAGGAGTCATTATAGACGGTCCCCGAGAAGACAGCTCCAGTTTCTAGATGTGGGCAGCAGGCCAAATGTCAGGTGTGGGTTCTGGGCTCTGAGGGGCTCAGCTGTGTCTCAGAGGGCTTGGCCAAGGGCAGAGGGTTGTGCAGAGAAAGGACTTCTAGACTAGTCCGGAAGGACCCTCAGCCTCAGGGGACCTTTCTTTTTTTTTAATATTTTATTTATTTATTATGTATACAATCTTCTGCATGCCAGAAGAGGACACCAGATCTCATTCAAGGTGGGTGTGAGTCACCATGTGGTTGCCAGGAATTGAACTCAGGTCCTCTGGAAGAACAGTCAGTGAGTGCTCTTAACCGCTGAGCCATCTCTCCAGCCCCTCAGGGGACCTTTCTTTCTTCCTTTTTTATGTGTCTGGGTGTTTTGTCTGCATGTATGTCTGTGCACTATGTGCTTGGCGTGACAGTGGATGCCAGAAGAGAGTGTTGGGTACTCCAGAACTGAAGTTAGCGATGGTTGTGGGCTCCCATGTGGGTGTTGGGAACCAAGGAACAAGTGCCCTTAACCACTGAGCCATCTTCCCAGCCCCACGAGGACAATCCTTTGTTGGGGCACCCAACCCTGCATTGTGGGGTGCTCACCAGCTCTCTTGGCCTCTCCCCATCAGAAACCATTAGCACCATGCAGTCTTGACGTGTGAAAAAGACCCCAGTGGCACATGGGGATTCGCGCCTATACTCCCAGCAGGCAGAAGGCTGAGGCAGACGGCACAACATGAGTTCAAGGGCAGCCCGAGCTACCGAACACGATCCTGTCTCAAAAACAAAGAGTGAATTAAATTTATAAAGGAAAAGAATCCAGGAGGCAGCGGCGGCGACACACGCATTTAATCTCAGCACTCGGGAGGCAGAAGCAGGCAGATCGCTGAGTTTGAGGCCAGCCTGGCAAGAAAGCAAGTTCCACGAGAGCCAGGGCTACACAGAAAAACCCTGTCTGGAAAGGAAAGGAAAGGAAAGGAAGGAAGGAAGGAAGGAAGGAAGGAAGGGGAAGGAGAGGGGAGGGGAGGGGAGGGGAGGGGAGGGAAGGGAAGGGAACCAGATGTGGTGGTGCACACCTTTAATTCCAGCACTCAGGAGGCAGAGACAATTGAATCTCTGTGAGTTGAGGCCAGCCTGGTCTACAGAGCAAGTTCTAGACCAGCTAGGGCTACTTTGAGACCCTGTCTTGGGGGGGAAATAAAAGCTGGAGAGACGGTTCAGCCAGGTTAAGAAGCTCTTATTCCTTATCATGCTTGTAGAAGATCTGAGTTTGGTTCCCAGCACCCATGTCAGGCTGCTGACACCCCTGCTCCAGAGCACCCAACGCCCTCTTCTGGCCTCTTCCAGTATTGCACTCTTGTGAGAGACATACACGTTTAACAACATTTAAAATGGGAGATGTCAGGCAAGATTTCAGTGGTAAAGGAACTTGCTGTGAAGTGGAGTTTGATCCTTGGGACTTATGAGGAGAAGGAGAGAGCTAACTCCTGCAAGCTGCCCTCTGACCTCCACCTGCCCACCATGGCGTGTACACAATAAATGAATAAATGTAATTTAATGAAAAAAAGTTTCTGAGACAGGGTTTCTCTGTGTAACAACCCTGGCTGTCCTAGAACTCAACTTGTAGACCAGGTTGGCCTCACATTCACAGAGATCCACCTGCCTCCCAAGTGCTGGTATTAAAGGCGTGCGCCACCACCACACTCTGCAATTCAATGATTTTTTTTTTTTTTTTGGTTTTTTGAGACAGGGTTTCTCTGTATTGTTTTGGAGGCTGTCCTGGAAGTAGCTCTGTAGGCCAAGCTGGCCTCGAACTCACAGAGATCCGACTGCCTCTGCCTCCCAAGTGCTGGGATTAAAGGCGTGGGGCTCAATGAATTTTTAAACCCTCCCCGCAAAGGGAAGAAGTTAGGCATGATGGGTCTTGTCTGTAGTTATAACGCAAGGGGATCAGTTCAAGTGTATCCTGGGCTCAATGAGACTCTGCTAAAAAAAAAAACAAAAACAAAAACAACCAAAAAAAACCCTCAACAGCAATCCAAAACAGCTCAAAGGTTAAAACAAAACAATGTGTCCAGGTAGCAGAACCTCCTCCACCCGCAAGGGGAAAGCCGTTATTTGGATAATGGATTTGGATAACGGGGAGCTTTGTGAGGAGCTGTGGGGAGGCTCTGTGCACTGCCCTCATGATGCTGTTTTTTTTTTTTCTTTCAGGGAGAACAATGGCAGGGTCCACTGTCCCCAAGGTCCCCATGCTGTTCCTGGTCCTCCTGCTATTTCCGGAGCTCCACGTGGCAGGATCCTCTGCCCAGAACCTGCCTGAAACCCCTCCGCACTTCCCCAGCTCTACACTATGGGTGCCTCAGGCCAGCCATCATGGCCGAAGGGGCCCGGGCAAGAAGGACAGGGGCCCAGGCATGCCCAGCCGGGCCCAGGAGGGGGCTGCGCTCACTGCCGCTAGGCAGGCTTCCCGGATAACGCTTGGACAGCGCCCTGCTGGCCTTCCACAGGACAACGAGATGCTTCTGGGACTGGCTTTGCCCCATCCGGAGAAGGAGCCGCGCTCTTCCGGATGGGAGAGGCTGAAGAAACGCGGCAGAGAGCACAAGAGACGCAGGGACCGGCTGCGACTGCACCGAGGTAGCCGGAGACCTGCGAGCCCTTCACTCGGGGAAGGCTCCAGGCCAATGCCAAGGGCAGGAAGTGGTGGTCAGTGTTTTAAACCCGGGAGAGACCATTCAGAGCCTCCAAAGGGGCAGAAGTGGACCCCCAGAGGAGGGGGTGGTCTGCTAGCGAGAGGAGGGGGGAATTGGGAACTACCAGCAGAAGGTTCTGCCTCCGTAAGTGATCAGTCATCCTCCTAGGCCAGGAAGATCTACCTTGCATCTGACCTAAATCTAGCCAACTCTAAGCCCTGTCTGCCTACCGAGAGGAGCGGGGAACCCTCCTCCCCTACATTCTTTAATGAGCTCCGGAACAGAGTGGGAGCTGAGCGCTTGGACTCTGCGGCCAGATCTGCTGAGACCAGTGTCTGATCCCACTTCTCACTAGTTTGTGGCCTTGGGAGAGCCTCCTTCCTAAGCCTGAGTTTGTCCTTCTGCAGAGATAATGTCCAATTTTAGTGTAGGAGGAGGTGACCTGATACTCAGAGGTCTTAAGTTTAGGCATCAGCTACGCAATTGCTACTAAATCCTCTGAAGCCCATCAGCACCCTCCAACCCTGCACACCAGTGACCCCATGTGGTGGCCAGCTGTCTGTCATGGTGACAGTCTGCTGTCAGGGTTGTTTTGGGATCAAGGATTCAGAGCCCAGGATTGCTTGGACCTGTAGCGAGGAGGCAGGAGCATCGTGGAAGTAGCTGCTCACCTCATGGTGCCCAGTGGCCAGAGAAGAAAAGGGGGAGGGAGAGGGAGACGGAGGGGGGAGAGGAGTTGAGAGAGGGGAAGACAGAGGAAGGGAGAGACAGCACAGGAATTCCTGGGTCCCCCTATCCACATCAAAGGCACCCCCAATGACTCAAGCTCCTTCCACTAGGCCCCATCTCCCAGAGGCCCCACAGCTTCCAAGCAGCGCCACAGGCTGGAGAGTCAAGTTTAAGTTTTATTTGTATTATTTTAATTATGTGTATGTATAGGTAAATATGTGCACATGATTGCAGTGCCTTTGGGGGCCAGAGGCATCAGATCCCCTGGAGCTGGACTTAAAGGAGGTTGTTAGCCACCTGACACGGGTGCCGGGAATCGAACTCAGGTCCTTTGCCAGAGCAGTGCATGCTCTTAACTTCTGAATCATCTCTCCAGCCCCAAGACCAAGCCCTGGGTCCTTGAGGGACAGCAGAGATATATATTGACGTGTCTCCAGAGAGATGTCCCCTTCCCAGGTCTGCCTATGTTAATTTCCTTAATAAGATCTCTGTCTCCATTCCCAGTGTCTCTGTGGTCACCCAGGCTGAGGCTCCTTTGGCCCAAATGAACAATCTCTGATAAATCTGAACATCTCTAACCAGCTTGCCCCTCCCCACAACCAGATAGCCCCTCCCCACAACCAGATGGCCCCTCCCCACAACCAGTCGGTCCTTCCCCACAACCCCTGACACCTTCCAGGCCTCACCTGGCCCTGAGCCTGCGCAGGCCACCTGGCTACTAAGCCTTTCCACGTGACAAGGTTGCCTCCAGGGACAGAGCAACTGCCACAGATGGGCTGGTGGGGGTGTTTCTCTAGGAAGAAAACAGCATCCGCAGCCCCCCTTCTCCTGCACATAGTGAGAGGGCGGGCACTTGCCTCCCCCTTCCCCCCCCCCCAGGTCATCTGAGACCCCACATGGTGAGAACAAGCTTCATGATATGGCATCCTATTCTCAGGGGTCCCTTGGGTGGCAGAGGGGAAGCTGCTGATGCCTGAGGACCAGCCAGAGAGCACAGTACCCGCGGGGCCCCCAATTTGGAAGAAGTTCCTTGGCTTGGGTGAAGTGGCAGGGCCCTCCTGAGGGAGGGTGACATGGTGGCAGGAGACAGATGAGGTCCACAGGCCAGGCCAGTTTATCGCCACTTGTGGGGTTCATTTCTGCAAAGTGGGGTGACCCCAAGGGGTCCAAATCAACCTGTAGCTGTGTCTTGCGGGGACAAACGCGGTCGACCCTCCTCTCATCTTCTGTCCTGGTCCCTGTCACACACACTCCCCCCACACCTGGGTGTCTTCAGAGGTAGCCCCAGGAGTTTAAGAACATTGGCTTTCCACTCAGGGTGGAGGTTCAGATCTGTGCTCTGCCACACAAGAGCTGTGTGTCCTTGGTGAAACCGCATTACCTCTCTGGCTTGGCTTCCTCCTCTGTAGATGAGCAGTAACCGCTTCTCAGAGTTTCTGCAGTAGCTAGATGAAGTATTTGTTGTGAAGTTGGTGTGTGTGTGTGTGTGTGTGTGTGTGTGTGTGTGTGTGTGTGTGAGCAGTGGCTTTCTCAAAGGCTTCTCCCTAAGTAGTGTCCCTCAGCCTCCAGGAGCCCCTCCTACTCCAGGAAGCCTTCTGTGGTTTTCTTTAAATTTTATTTTATTACTATTATTAATTTTTTTGTTTTTTTTTTTTGAGACAGGGTTTCTCTGTATTGTTTTGGAGGCTGTCCTGGAACTCGCTCTGTAGACCAGGCTAGCCTCTAACTCACAGAGATCCACCTGCTTCTGCCTCCAGAGTGCTGGGATTACAGGCACCAATGCCTGGCTTTTTTGGGGGGGAGGGAGGAATTTATTTAACATGTATACAGTTCTGTCTGCATGTATCCCTGCAGGCCAAAAGAGGGCACCAGATCTCATTACAGATGGTTGTGAGCCACCCTGCGGCTGCTGGGAATTGAACTCAGGACCTGTCTAGAACAGCAACCAGTGCTGTTAACTGCTGAGCCACCTTTCCAGTCCCCACCTGTGGTTTTATGTCCCTGGCTGCCCCCAGGCATCCTGGACCCAGACTTACTCTAGGAAAATCCTCTAACCAGCATCTTTCTCCCAGTGACTGCTGTTTCTAGGTCTCTAGCAGGGTAGACAGCAAGGATGTTGCGCAGAACAAGGGCCCCTGATGCCCAGTAGTCTTTGGCAGAAAAGTCGGGCTGCCCCGTGGGTAGACACTGAGCAGCACGATGGTCACCCTGTGCTTGCCTTGCCTCAGGCCGAGCTGCCATCCGTGGCCCCAGCTCCCTAATGAAGAAGGTGGAACCCTCTGACGACCAGATGCTGGAGGCTGCCACAGAGGAGTCCTCTACCAGCCTGGCGCCCACCATGCTCTTCCTAACCACGGCAGACGCAGCCACGCCCACCACAGAGGAGTCGCGGATCCTGCCCGTCACCTCCCTGCGGCCCCAGGTAAGGGCACGTGGCCTTGCTACACGTGACTCCTGTCAGGGTTCTCTAGAGGAACAGAACAGATAGAATTAAGGTATATATCCAAAAGAACTTCATCGGAGTGTGTTGCTGGAGGCTTTTCTGTGTCCCGCCCGGTCCTGCAACCTTTTATAAGATAATCACTCGGAGGCTTAGTATGCATTGTAATTGTTTGGCCGATGGCTCAGGCTTATTACTAGCTAGCTCTTACATTTCAGTTAACCCATTCCTATTAATCTTTGCCTCGCCACGTGGCCCACGGCTTACCAGTAAAGCTCAGGCGTCTTACTCCTCTCCGTCAGCTGCTGGCATCTCTCTCGACTCTGCCCTCTTCCTCCCTGTGTTCAGTCTGGCTTTCCTGCCTGGCTATACTCTGCCCCGCCACAGGCCACACACAGCAGCTTTATGTGTCAGCCAATAAAAGCAACACATATTCGCAAGGTCCAGAAGGGCAGCCCACCTCAGTAGTGGCTCCCAGGCTGCGGTCCAGATGGTCCAATGGCGGTTGTCTCCCCATGGAAAGGCAAAGGATCAGGTAGCTGTTTGGTCCACGAGGCCAGATATCTCAGCTGGCCTTTCTTTCTTTCTTTCTTTCTTTCTTTCTTTCTTTCTTTCTTTCTTTCTTTCTTTTTTTTTTTTGTTGTTGTTTTGTTTTTTGAGACAGGGTTTCTCTGTATTGTTTTTGGAGCCTGTCCTGGAACTCGCTTGGTACACCAGGCTGGCTTCAAACTCCCAGAGATCCACCTGTCTCTGCCTCCCGAGTGCTGGGATTAGAGGCATGCACCACCAACGCCCAGCTTCAGCTGGCTTTTTCTACGTTGTAATCCTGAGGAGGTAGGGTCTAATACCAGCAAATGCCACAGCAGCAGGATGCATGGACTTGCCAGCAAAACAGAGGAGAATCAGACAAAAAGCAGAAGCTTCCTTCTTCCGTGTGTGTGTGGGGGGTACCAGAAGGTGTGGCCCAGATTTTGGGTGACTCTTCTCACCTCCAATGATCCAGTCAAGAAAAAACCCTCACGGGTGTGCCCAGCTGCTTGCCTTTTAGTTGATTCGACTTCTGTTCTACTTAGGTAAACTGAGGCACAGCAGGAGGGTGGCAGTGGGAGCCATTATGCTGCCTCAGCATACCAACCTCTACACACATGGAGGTGGAACTCCTGGAGAGGGCCTCTAAAGTCTGGGAGAGTCTGGAAAGCAGCCACAGAGACTTGAAAAACCGTGACCTAGAGTGACATAGGTCAGTGAGGCGGCTGACCTGTCTACTCCCCAAGTCTGAAAAAGTAAATGGGAGCGGAACAGGGATGCTCACACAGATCTGACTGCTCACCAGAAGGAGGCAGGCGCTCACCAGGTCATTGTCGCCTGTGAGGGAGACAGCTCATTCTCTTCTATGGCTTAGAAAGTTGTTTGTGCCGGGTGCTGGTGGCACACGCCTTTAATCCCAGCACTCGGGAGGCAGAGGCAGGTGGATCTCTGTGAGTTCGAGGCCAGCCTGGTCTACAGAGTGAGTTCCAGGACAGCCTCCAAAACAATACAGAGAAACCCTGTCTCGAAAAACCAAAAAAAAAAAAAAAAAAAAAAAGAAAGAAAGAAAGAAAGAAAGAAAATTGTTCGTTTTTAATGTTATGGGCACTGGTGTTTTGCCTGCATCTATGTCTATGTGAGGGTTTCAGAACCCCTAGAACTGAGTTACAGACAGTTGTGAGCTGCCCTGTGGGTGCTGGGAATTGAACCCAGGTCCTCTGGAAGAATAGCTAGTGCTCTTAACCACTAAGCCATCTCTCCAGTCCCCAAAGGTTCTTTTTTCCAAAATAAAATGACTCAAGGCCAGATGTAGTGCTCAAGCATACAGTCCCAACACTTGGGAGACAGAGGGAGTAGCGTCACCACAGCGATGAGGGGTCTAGGCCAACCTGAGGTACAAAATGAAACCCTGTCTCAAAGTAAAACAAAACACCCTAAATAAAATAGCATCACTGAAGTGGATCAATAATACATGTTATATATTCATAGCTCAGTTGGTAGAATGCTTCCTTAGCATACACTAAACCCTAGCTTTGATTCCCAGCGCTATAGAAAACAGATGTGGTGTTGCATGGGTATAATCTCAGCATTCAGGAGGTGGAGCCTGGAGGATCGAAGTTTAAGGTTATCCCTGGCTACATAGTGACTTTGTATCCAGCCTGGGCTACATGAGACTTTTTTTTTTTTCAGGAAGAAAGAAATGGAGGGAGAGGTAGAAAAATCACAACCCACCGGGCGTTGGTGGCGCACACCTTTAATCCCAGCACTCGGGAGGCAGAGGCAGGCGGATCTCTGTGAGTTAGAGGCCAGGCTGGACCGACAGCCTCCAAAAACAATACAGAGAAACCCTGTCTCGAAAAACCAAAAAAAAAAAGAAAAAAAAAAAAAAAAAAGAAAAAATCACAACCCTCTATTGCTGTGGGGCTGTTTTGTAGTCCTTGTTAATCTCTTTTTGGGGGCCGGTTTTGAGACAGGGTTTCTCTATGGCTTTGGAGGCTGTTCTGGAACTAGCTCTTGTAGGCCAGGCTGGTCTCAAATTCACAGAGATTCACCTACCTCTGCCTCCCAAGTGCTGGGATTAAAAGTGTGTGCCACCACCACCTGGCTAAATTCTTGTTAATCTCCTGCTGTGCCTCATTTAAACTGATTTTTTATCATTTCAATTGTGTGTATATTTGAGGAAAATGGTACATACATGAGCGGAAGGAGCCTTTGGAGGCAACAGAGACCTTGGAGCTGGAGTTACGGGCACCTGTTAAATACCTGATGTAGGTGCCAGGAGCTGAACTCAGGTCCTCTGCACTCTTAACTGCTGAGCTGTTTCTCCAGCCTTGACTGACTGTTGCTCACTAGTAAATTAGGCTTGTAAGAGATGTGTGTGTGTGTGTGTGTGTGTGTGTGGTATGTGTGTGGTGTGTGTACATGTGTGTGTGGTGTGTGTATGATATGTGTATGTGTGTGAGTGATGTGTGTATGTGGTGTGTGTGTGTGTGTGTGTGTGAAAACAGTGTACAAACATGGTTTAGCCCTTCCAGGCAGCACTGGCAGGTTGAACCACATCTTCTGAGCATCAGGAGATGGAGGTAGATCTCCTTTGTCCTCTTTCTTCATCTGGTACTCCTGAGAGTCTGGAAAAATATGTGTCCATGAGCAGGTAGTTACAGCCTGTGCCTTGCTGAACCCTGGTGATGATGTACATGAGGACCCAGTCCTGGTAATGATGTACATGAGGACCCAGGCGTGATATCTGGTCCTCAGCAGTTTCCAGGATATGAGTCAGGGTTGTTGTGAGAGGGATCAAGGCCTGTGTGTGGTCTTCACAGTACCTTGAGAGGAAGGACAGAGAGGAGTGGCGGGTCCACCTCTAGTCCCCCTCCCCCCATGGACTTTAACTCCTGAAAAAGGAGCTCAGCCTCTCTTGCCATCACCTTGCATCTTGTCTTGGAAGGCTCCAGGTCTCCTTCCCTCGTCTTCTGCAGGCACAGCCCAGGTCTGATGGGGACGTAATGCCCACACTGGATATGGCCTTATTTGACTGGACTGACTATGAAGACTTAAAGCCAGAGGTGTGGCCTTCTGCAAAGAAGAAAGGTAAGTCTACCTTGCCATCCGGCCCATGTCTGGACTCCTCTCTATTGAGGGGGACATTTGCTGAGTCCAGGCTGACCCATAGGTGTCCAAAAGTGGGCTGAAATACATCAGTCTAAGCTGGACCTGACACTGTAACAGTCTCCCACGCTCTCTGCACAGGTCCTATGTCTCTTACAGGGTGACCGGTTATGGGACCTACTTTACAGAAGAAAGTGAAGCAGAGAGAGGATCTTATCCCAGTCACACTGTGGGAATGGCCATTGACAGTGACACCCAAGTCTTGTGCTCAATCTGATCCCCAATTTCCTTGTCCCCAGAGAAACACTGGAGTCACTTCACCAGTGATGGAAACGAGACATCGCAAGCTGAGGGGGAACCATGTGACCATCACCAGGATTGCCTGCCAGGTACCCTGGTACCCCAATACCCACACTTAAGGCACCGGGCAGGGAGGGAATGCCAGAAAGGCAAGTGGGACAGGCCTTCTGGCATGGGAGCAAGCCTGAGTGTCATGACCCTTTATGCACAATAAATAGCAGCTACAGTAGCCACCAATTTCCCGAGAATCATTATCAGCAGCCACCGGTTTCCCGAGAGTCACTACCATACACTAACTCATAGAATGACAGGAGAGAGAGGCGAGGAGGGAAGAGAGAAGTGGGGTCGGGGATGGGGACTGACTGACTTCGGGTTTTTCAGGCAAAGCAAAGCAATTAAGCCCCAGGCAGGCTAAGGTCCTTTTCCAAGATCACACAGCCTGGGCCAACTTGGTTCCTAAGCTTCCTACTCACAACCCACCCTTACCCTGAGTGAGCTGATCTGCTCCTGACTGTGTCCTCTCGACACCCCCAGGGGTTAAATCAGTCCCCTCATCATGACACCACCTGGCTTTCTGGGGATGGGTTCAGTGACACCCTCTCCTGGTCAGCAGCCCTCCCCATCAATCATAGCAGGATGAATACAGAGTCTGAACTGCTGACCCTGTGGGTCAGGTGAACCTTCCCAGAGCAGACTCGGAGGTGGAATTAAAATCTGTGGTGGGGTAACACCAGTGAAGGGAGGAGGATCAGGAGTTCAAGGTCATCCTGGGGTACATAGGGAGCTCAAGGCCAGACCCTGTCTTGGGGGATGCTTATCTGGGATTTTGGTGGTGACACTTATAGTCAATGCAAGAGACCTCGGGCCTGATGTCATGCTGGCTCAGAAGGAGCTGTGGAGAAAAGCCTTGCTTGCCAGGGAAGCCACCTGCTGGCCAGGAGTGGTAGCCCTGGTGGCCCTGGTCTCAGCCATGCTGCCCGTTGTCTGGGCCTGCTGAGGGAGGGGGTGATTGGGACATGGGCCAAGGTGGCCCCTGAAACTGCTCACAGCAGGAGAGCAGTTACTTGACTGATGTCCCTTACTGCTACCAAATAATGAGGGCTTTGGGAGACGGGGTCAGGGGAGACTCAAGTGGCCATCTCCACGGCACCAAGTCAGCAGGATAGTCTGGTAGCCATTTTGTTGTTGTAGACGCGGGACACCAGCCCAGACAGGCTGTCTGTTCCTCCATCACTATCTGGACTCTGAGTGTGAAGAAAAGGCTGGAGTCAGGGCCAACAGGACGGTTACTTGGAAGCCAACTCTGCAATGAGCAAAGAGATGCCTCAGTCCTGCCTGGGATATCCCTGCAGCCACCCAAGGCTTCAGTTCCCCCACGCGTTCAAGAGGACGTTAATGTCCATGATCCCTGGGGTCCTCTCAGCTCTCAGCTGGCTCTAGCTCTGACACCCCTCGCTATTACAGCCCCATCCCTGGGAGGCGAACCCCACACCACCTTTGATCCCCCCATGATCAATCAAATGGCCCATCTGGGGAGGCTGGGGTCTCTGCCACCTGGCTCTGGGGATTTCATCTGTGACATCTAGCAGCGGTTCGGGCCCAGAGCCTTGCACACCAGATGGTCTGCCAGGGCAGGGCCTGCCACACGTATGATGGATCTCCTGTCCGGCGGGACTCTGTGCAGGGCGGTGGGAGGAGCCGCTCGGCTTGGCTGACCGCATGCGCTTGCTACGTTGCCAGGAACATGCTGTGACCTCCGGGAACATCTCTGCGTGCCTCACAACCGCGGCCTCAACAACAAATGCTTCGATGACTGCATGTGCATGGAAGGTCAGTCTGGACTCTGAGAGGGGAGAGCCCCCTCCCCACCATGCTCCCAGAACCGTGAAGCCTTTGTTGCCCAGCCAGCTCTGTGATGAGTGGGTCAACGAGCTTTCCTGGCAGAGGGTGGATGTGGTGGAGGGGCCCGGGGAGAGGGAATGGGTAGGAGAACCCCCCGGGAGCCGAAGGCACCAGTAGGAACAGCTTTGCTGGGCCCTTCCAATCTGTCAGCTCGATGCCTCTCCGTTCCTGGCACGGTTTCTCAGATTTGTGTTTCTCACCTCTTGAAATACAAGCTGGTGTGTGATCGCTCAGGATCAGGACAGAGAGAAGGGAGGAGGCAGGAACACATCTCTTTAAATAAGAGCCAACCTGAGGAGGCGGGTACGTTCTCTGCAGAATTCTAGATGGAAGGCTTTCCAAGTGAGACAGACGGTGGGGGGCAGGGAGCTGGGTGGGTTTCCCAGCAGTCCCAGGGAAGGGCTCACTGGACTACTGGGTTAACTGCTCTAGCACCCACCTCAGACGGAAGGGTGTGCCCGTGCACACACGTGCCCGTTGGTGCCTGATCTCAGTCCTTTCCTTCCTGGAGTTGTGACAGTTGCCCCCAAAGGAAGATTTTATGATTCCCACTTCGAAAGCGGATGAGGTGGCTTACTCAAACTCATATTTAGAAGAGTGAGGGTCACGGAAGAACACCTCGGTAGTAAAGTGTTTGTCTCAGCAAGAACAGCAACAACCCTGAGGGGGAGCTATGCTGAGTCTCACAGGCGGGCCTCAAACACACGAGCCTCCGGCCTCAGCCTCTCAAGCAGCTGGAATTAAATGGCTGCGGCATCATTGCTGGCTCTCTCCTTCCTTCTTTCTTCTTTGTTTTCTTGTGCTTATTTTATTTTATCACAGGAAAAAAGAAAGGAACGAGGAAGACAGAGAAAAGGAGTGGAGAGGTAAAAGGGAAGGAAATGAAAAAGAAAAGAAAAAGTTGCTTGTGGTGGTCTAGGCTCTTCATCCCAGCACTTGAGAGCCCCAGGCAGGGCAACTGTGAGTTTGAGGCCAACTCAGGGAGCACAAGTGACACCTTGCTTGGAAAACAACAAACCACAGCTAGCAATTGGCTCGGCACGAAGAAGGGCTTGCCCCGAAAGCCTAATGACCCATGTTCGATCCCCGGGACCCTGGTAAACATGGACGGAGAGATCCAACCACAGAGCTTCTCTCTTGTTAGGTGTGGGAGTGGACTATCTTAGTCCCTGCACTCAGGAGGCAGGAGCAGGTGGATCTCTTGAGTTCAAGGCCAGCCTGGTCTACATAGTGAGACCCAGTCTCTAAATAAATAAATACATAAATCAGTGAAGTTATAGTTCAGTGATAGAGTGCTTGCCAGGCCTTGAGTTCAACCCCTACCCATGTGTAAGACAGGGCTAGGGATGAACTGGAGAGATGGCTCAATGGTTAAGAGCAGTTGTTGCCCTTGCAGAGGACCCAGGTTCGATTCCCCACACCCGAACGGCAGCTCAGGACCATCCATAACTCCAGTTTCAGGGGACCCAGCCCCCTCTCCTGACTTCACAGGCACCAAACATGCATGTGGTGCACATATGTACAAGCGGATAAAACATTCCGACTCAAAACAATCTTCTTTTTTCTTTTTGGTTTCTTGAGACAAGGTTTCTCTGTGTATCCTGGCTGTTCTAGAACTCACCCTGTAGACCGACTGCCTCCAGAGTGCTGAGATTACAGGAGTGCACCACCACTGCCCAGCTTCAAAATAAATCTTTTTTTTTTTTTTTTTTTTTTTTTGTCTTTCGAGACAGGGTTTCTCTGTGGCTTTGGAGGTTGTCCTGGAACTCGCTCTTGTAGACCAGGCTGGCCTCGTCCAACTCACAGAGATCCGCCTGCCTCTGCCTCCCGAGTTGCTGGGATTAGAGGTGTGTGCCATCGCCTCCCGGCTTCAAGATAAATCTTAAAGAAAAATTTTAAAAGAGAAATATGAAGGAATTATGTAGAAAAATGATTCTACTTCTGTTTTCAGAGCCGCATTGCTGAAGACAAAGTATCATGATGGTTCCCATCACTTAGCGTCAATGAACACCACCCCGTGGCCATCCTGGGTGGGGCTATCACCTCCACACACTTCCCCCGTTTCAAAATGATCTTTATTATCTATACAGTGTTTATTTTGGCACGCACCTCTGAGAGATAAGAACCCTTTTAAAACAAGGTGTGGAAATTGCCAAGCCAAGCGATACTCAACCCACCTTCCAGGCTCTGAGGGCAGATCCCTCCCCTCGATGCTCTGTGAACCTGAGCCACTCACAAAGTCTAGTTCACAGTGATGAAAGAGCCTGCGCCCTTGTCCACAGCTGTGTTACATTCCGGTGAAACCAGACGACGAGAAACAAACCCAGAGATAAGCTGTCTCTGGAGCCAGGCACGGTGGCCAACACCTGTGATCTCAGCACTCCAGAGGTAGCGACAGGAGACCCATAAGTTCAAGGTCATCCTCAGTCACATAGGGAGTTCCATGTGGGGCAGCCTGGGCTATAGAGGGTCTTGTAACTGTCACCCACCCACGCCCCGAAAAAGGAAAAAGGGAAAGAAAAAGTCCCCGAAAAGTCATAAGGGCTGTGAAGTCTAAAAGGGCCAGGCCGTGGTGGTGCACGCCTTTAATCCCAGCACTCGGGAGGCAGAGGCAGGCGGATCTCTGTGAGTTCAAGACCAGCTGGATCGACAAGATCTAGTTCCAGGACAGGCTCCAATGAATGCCACAGAGAAACCAATGTCTTGGAAAAAAAGAAAAGAAAAAGAAAGAAGTCTGAAAGGTTGGTAGGTTGGTAGGTGTTTCCATAGGATGTTAAGGAGTCCTTAGGGAAAGAGGAAAGAGTGGCTGGTGGAGATTGAAAAAGAGCCCAAGGGGTCCTGAAAGGAGGCAGAAAGTAAGGGCAGGGACCTTGGGCAGGAGCAGCCTGGCTTGTTGTACAGTGACACCTGGAGAAGATTATAAAGGAGATGAGAGAAGCTTCTAGAAGAACCACGCTAACTTTGTTGCCCTCGTTGAGTTTTGTTTCATTGGTGACTGGAAGCAATGCCCACACTAAAGCAGAGGGGTCACGTGGTCTCTGGGGCTGAGGATGAGGTTCAGCTTAGCTGGCCCAGCGTGGGTTCTGTGGCCAGTGTAAATGGTGGTGCATGAATACAGCTTCAACACTTGGGGGGTGGAGACAGGATGGGGAGTTCAAAGCCATTCTCAGTTGGCTAGTCTGGAATGCATGAGACCCTGTGTCCCCCTCTCCCCCAGATTGCAGGACTGGGGACAGCTGAGGACAGGGAGCAGGCTGAAAGGTTAAAGAGGGTAGAGACCAACAGAGCGAGGACATGTTTAAGATGCTGTTGCCGGTGTTCAGAGCACAGGCCGGTTCTCAGAGGAGCGGACAAGGGCACAGTATACAGGCATCCTTTGAGTCTGGGTTCACAGTCTCTGAACTAGGCTCCAGCCCTGGCCTGGTAAGGGGCTGTGGGAGGCTCTGGGGGGGGTTGGGGGGTAAAGCCTCCTCCTGCCAGCCTCAGATGGTAATGTGCTCACCCTGCTTTCTGGGAATCCCTACGGTGTCCACATCCAGAGCCAAACTGTGTCCTCTTATACTGGTTAGTTCCACCTGCCCAAATTCCTGTTCCTCCCTGGAGACCCAGGTTCCAGGGACAGAAGAGAGAGTGGAGGCTGCAGCCTGGATAGCTCATCGCACATTAAGAATGGCCAGAAAGGAAGAGGGTTCACCCAGAAGCCACACAGGAAGGACCTGCAGGGTGCCAAGAGCTCTTAGGGGAACTACAAGTCCGGAGGACTCTCTTAAAATATTAAACCCAGGGCCCAAGGCTGGCATCCAGCAAGTCAGGCCAGTCAGGTGTCTGGAGGTTCCTAAGGGCTGCAGACACCCAACATCCCTGCTCCCAACTAACTCCTCCTCAGACGCCACTGTGGCCAGGGATTTGGCTTAGCTGGTAAAGTACTTCCTAGCTACAGAAAGCCTTGGGTCCCTCACCCAGCACCACATAAACTAGGCTTGGTGGTGCACACCTGTAATCCCAATACTTTGGAGATGGAGACAGGAGGGTCAAGAGTTCAGGGTCAGCCAGGCGTTGGTGGCACACACCTTTAATCCCAGCACTCAGGAGGCAGAGGCAGGCGGATCTCTGTGAGTTTGAGGCCAGCCTGGTCTACAGAGTGAGTTCCAGGACAGCCTCCAAAACAATACAGAGAAACCCTGTCTCGAAAAACCCAAAAAAAAAAAAAAAGAGTTCAGGGTCATCCTCAGCTACATAGTAAATGGATGGGAGGCCAGTCTGGGTCACACGAGACCCTGTCTTAAAACCATAACGAACTCTAGGCTGTCAATCACAAACTTCCCAGCAGCCCCTTTGCCCTCCTGCTGCTGATGTAAGTGGACCCTGAAGTAGAGATGTCCTCTCACCTCACCCTGTGGTCACTCTGTCCCTGAAATGCAGAGGTTTCATGGGCCACAGGGACAGCTCCTTCCCTACTATCAGGAGGGTGTGACCTACTGTGATCTTAAGTGAAATACATCTACTTACATCTCAGGTTTACTAGAGCCCTAGTAGAGTGAGCCATGGGCAGGACACCCGCCCACTGGGGTCACCAGGGCCACACTTAGGTTAACTAGGGTGTCTGGGGGAGACCTTATGTGTTTCTGTGATGTGTGTGTGTTTGCACGATGTATTTGTGTGTGATGTGTGTGTATTTGCCTATGTGCTAGGCCCATGAGAAGGTTGATAGGTGACAGCCCCCAAGGGACTGAGACCCACAACCCGTTCTCAACCTGAGAACTGTGGGGACTAGGCCATCCTCCCCCCAGCTTGGCAAGGGGTTTATTTCCTGATTCCAGTGCCTAGTGCTTTCCAGGCAAGTACTCCACAACTGACTTAGAGGTTCATTCTTTTATTTATCTGTTTGTTTGCTTTTGTTTTTTTAAATATTTTATTTATTGTGTATACAGTCTTCTGCCTGCATGCCAGCAGAGGACACCAGATCTCATTACGGATGGTTGTGAGCCACCATGTGGTTGCCGGGAATTGAACTCAGGACCTCTGGAAGAACAGTCAGTGCTCTTAACCGCTGAGCCATCTCTCCAGCCCTGTTTGTTTGTTTTATAGCTTTGGCTGGCCTAGAACTCACTGTGTAGACCAGGCTGTCTTCAAACTCACAGAGATCCGCCTGCCTCTGCCTCCTGAGTGCTGGGATTAAAGAGTGGGCTACCTTTGGATCCAAGAGGCAGCTGGCAGAGAGTGAGACTCTGGGATTTGCCTTTGAATCACAAAGCCCGCCTTCACTGCACCTCCTCCAGCAAGGCCACACCCCCTCACCCTTTCAAATAGTGCCACCCACTGGTGACCAGCCGCTGGGGGCCGTTTTTATTCAAACCACCACAATCTGTATCTAAAATTTTACATACAAACCCAAAATTTAATAAAACATAATTGTAATACCCCTATTTAAAAAAAGTGGGTTACCATGCTCAACTTTTTTTTCTAAATAGTTGATGAGGCAGAGTGCAGTTCAGTGATAGAATGTATGCTTAATATGCAAAGCCCCAGATTCAACAGTTAGGTTTTGCTTATTTATGTATTTATTTATTTTGCTTTGTGTCTGCTGTGTAGCCCTGGCCAGCCTCAGACTAAATCCGAACCTGCTGCCTCTGTCTCCTGAGTGTTAGGATTACAGGCTTATGCGACCAGCCCAGTTTCTTAAAACTTTTCAAGACAAGGTGGTGTGGAGTGAGCCGCCTGTGCCGGTTGGAGGGGAAGAAAAGGGAGGGGACAGTCACCAGCAGGCATGACATCCTTGTCTCCTTCCATTCAGGGCTGCGTTGCTACGCCAAATTCCACCGGAACCGCAGGGTCACTCGGAGGAAGGGGCGCTGCGTGGAACCAGAGACAGTCAACGGGGACCAGGGTTCCTTCATCAACATCTAGCGCCCGAGTGGTGCCTCCCCACCAGCCGGGCATCTGAGCCAGGGAGGTGTGGACAAACAAGACCGTCGTGTTAGTAACTAGCTCAGCTTGGGGCTGAGTGGGGGAACCCATGGCTGAGGCTGCGGGTGCAGACCCAGTACACTCACCCCCAAGCTGGAGGACGCCTTGGCTGAGACAGCTGCGCCTGCCACCCGCGGTGGGACCCACGCAGCTCGTGCACGGATCCTGCCCTACGTGATAGCCTTGTCGAGCGCGCCCCCTTCTGCTCGACACCAGCATTGCAGCAGCTTCGATTTGGAAAATCAAGAGATTTCCTGGAAACGACTGGGAAGAGAGAGGGCACCTGACAGTAGTGGTCCTGGAATTCCATGTCCCGGGCAAACTCCAAGCACCACTGAACTTCCACAGAGACCGTGACAAGAGACCACCGAAGCACACTTGAGTTGCAAGACTTGTGCAGGTCCCACATCATCCAAGATTCTCCTTTTTTGGCAACAGACACAACTTGACTGTCTTCAGCCTTCCCCAAAAGAGGCTTATTGTCTTTTGGGGAGATGGAGTTTCACTCTTTGGCCAAGCTGGCCTTTGAAAACTCAGACAATCCTCCTGCCTCAGTCTTCCAAATGCTGGGATTACCAGGTGTGAGTCAGCATATTTGGCAGGTGTAGCAATCATTCTTTACAAAGAAAGCGTGAGGGCAGGGGTGTGGCTAAGTTTATATCGCCCTCACCTCGGGTGCATGAACCCTGGTTTCCACCCCCAAGCATGGTGTCAGAGGCAGGCAGTGGCAGGAGGACCGGAAGTGAACGGTCGTCTTCGGCTCCGTGGCAAGTGTGAGCCAGACCACAGGAGACGGTATCTCAAGCAAAACAAAATAAGCCATTTGCCCAGGCTGCACAGGGCCGGCCCTGGGTTTGATCTCCGCTCATTCTCCTCCCCTCCATTCCCTCGACTTCCCCCAGGCCCCTACACGGGGGTGGGGGTGGGGCTGCTTTCAGATGAAGAAGGACCCCATGGGTGGGTCCTTCCATCTGGCAGGTGCTAATCAGTCATGAAGTGACACACAGTAACTTCCCTGATGGCCCCATCATCCAACCCTGGGACACGGGTCACCGCCTGCTAAGTCGTCCTCTGAGCATGCTCCCTGCTGGAAAGGCATGCACACATGTGCTCACCTGACTCATTGTTTGCTGATTTCCTGAGGCTCCATCCCTTCACTTCAGCAGCAATATCCCCTTGGAAAGTGGGGCCACTTCTGAGACTGGGGCAGCCTTCATGCTCACAGGCTAGGACCATGATGACAACCTCGACACTATCGTCCCCACCCGGAATATGTGTCCCAGCAGATGTGGCTCTGGAGGACCCTTTAGACTCCTGTACCTGGCATCTCCCTCCTGGTCAACTTGTACAAAGGAAAAAAGCCTTCCCTGCCCCAGTCCTCCCCAGCCTGGACCACGTCCATAGGATGCCGGGGCTGTTTACGGCTTTGTGGTATCCAGTCTGGTCCAGGGACCAGGCACCAAGGAAAGCAGGCGGATCTGTAAGAAATCAAATATGCTTGTTCTCCTTTCCCAGGTTGGTCTGATAGGCCTGGGAATGGGGGGCAGGGCCAAGAGCCGGAAGGATGAAAGCAGCAAGGGGAAAGCAGAGCCCTATACAGATTCTTGTTTCCCCTTTCGTAGTTCCAGGGCCTTGCAGGGGCCAGGCAAGTGCCCTGCTACTGAGCTCCACGCTAACCGGCCTGGGCTTTAAAGTCTCCAGAGCCTCCTCAGGGGGCTGCCATGGCAACCAGAGCTGAGAACATTGGTCCCCCGTCCTCCCACCTGCAGCAGCACCCTGCTGTAAACAGCCTGTCCCTCCTCTCACACTTTGTGGGCCTTAGGGAAGTTGCTTATGGTCTCTGTGCCTTGACTTTTATCTGTGAAATGAAAATACCTGATTCTTTTAACTGTTCCTGGCCCATCACACACACACACACACACACACACACTCTCTCTCTCACACACTCACACACACCTGGAATACCAGCTAACAGACTTCAGCAGGCTTCTTCCACAGGGATCCATCACATACTCAATGATGCTTTTTTCTCTCTCTCTCTATAGCTTTGGAGCTTGTCCTAGAACTCACTCTGTAGACCAGGCTGGCCTTGAACTCACCTGTTGCTGCCTATAGTGTTGCGATTAAGGGCATGTGCCATCATCACCTGGCTTTGATGATACTTTGTTTAAATGGTGTCTCACTATGCAGATCTGGCTGACCTGCAACTCATGATGCAGACCAGGCTGGCCTTGAACTCACAGAGATCCGCCTGCCTCTGCCTCCCGAGTGCTGGGGTTAAAGGGTTGCACTACCATGCCTAGTTCAGGATGCTTTCTTTGGTTGCTCCCAAGTGCACTTCACTGGTGTAGTGGTGCACGCCTTTAACCCCAGCATTTGGGAGACAGAGGCAGGTGGATCTCTGTGAGTTCAAGGCCAGCCTGGTCTACAAAGAGAGTTCCCAGACAGCCAGGGCTAAGTAGATAGACCCTGCCTCAAACAAATAAATGAACAAAAAACAAAGTGCCCTTCACAAAACCAAGCGATGACTCGGGAAGAGAATATGGGTTCCTGCGCTGGGGGCAGACCTGGAGGAACCTGTGGCCACACAGAATCAGGTTTGTGAGAAGAAAAGAGGACCCTGGTGGAGAGCTGAGCAGGGGCTAACAGATGCCCAGACAGACACCTGAGCTGAAGCCTCAAGGTCATGCTGACCAATCCCAATGTCCCTGGACAGGGAGTATTTTTCTGGGCTTTTTTTTTTTTTTGAGGGGGTGGTTTTTCAAGACAGGGTTTCTCTGTGGCTTTGGAGAACTGTGTCCTGGAACTAACTCTTGTAGACCAGGCTGGTCTCAAACTCACAGAGATCTGCCTGCCTGCCTCTGCCTCCCGAGTGCTGGGATTACAGGCGTGCACCACCACAGCCCGGCCTGTTTTTCTGGGCTTTGCTGGCGATATGAAGGGTGGTTTCCGTGGTGGGTAGAAGGGGGCTGAGGGGACCTGAGATGCAAACGTCAAAGCAAAATGACATCATCTGCTCCTCGAGGAGGTCAAATTTGAAGGCTACACCCCTTCTCCTGCTGAGGTGCTGAAGAGTCCTCCCCAAGCCTCATTCAGCCTTGCCCAGGCTCCCTCTGCAGCTGCCCACAATTAGCATCTGTGCAGCCTGCAAGGAGCATGCTTAGACAGTAAGGAACCAGGAGGCCTGGGTGCCAGGAAAGTGGGGTCTGGAGAGGCCAGCAGCTGAGGTTCCCCTTTGAGGGTTCTGGGGGCCTGACTACGTTAATCCTGGCCCTCCATGGCAGCTTGCACGCTCACAGACCACAGTGAGTGTGTGCTTACAGGCCATAGATACTGTGTGCACACAGAAGAGGGGTGGTCAGGGTAAGCAGGCTGCGAGCAGAACAAGGGGTTTACACTGCCGGGAGTGGGGTTTCCAAATTCCCAGGAAGAGCAGGTGATCTGGGTCAGATCTATGGCCAAGCTACTCCTGGTTGCAAAGGCCCAGCATCACCCGGGAGTCAGGCAGAAGCACAGAACCTTGGACCCCACTCCACACCTGCTGAACTGCAGTCACAGGAGTGGCCCCCCACCCTACCCTCCAGCCCCTGGCATCTGGCTTCTAACGCATTCTCCAGGGTACTCTTGGATGGGATGGGTGTGAGGGTCACAGACGGAGGGTAGATGCTGGTAGTGGGGACATTTGGACAATTCAGCACTCTTGCATTCACTATGGCTTGCCAACTCTGAGGTCTGTTTCCTGGCAACTTACCAGCAAGGACAAACTCCACGATCCAAGGTCTGCCTCCTGGGCTGTCATTGGCTCTGCTTAGAGGATGCCAGGTAGGGCTCCTAGGCCTGGAGCCTCCATCATTGGACTTTTGTACTCTTGGGAAATTCCTTGAAGGGCTGTAGCTCCTCCTTGAATTGTGGGAGAGACAAGGGGGGTACTATGCCTTGGTTTATGAGGCCATATTGCATGTATTCTCTGAGCTGTAAATAAAGAGGTGCTGATTGCTAAGCCATGTCTTGACTCTTCTTCCAGGAAATGGTCCATCTGGCTGGCAGGGAGCATTGCCAGAGCCTTGAGAGGGGACCCTAAGCCTTGTCTTTCTCTGGTCATTTGCTGCTCACTTGATTTGATTCCGGGCAAGCGAGACAAATGTGGGGCCCTCGCCCAGAAACACCCATCACTTAGGTCCTTTTCTTGGATATCCAGGTCTGCAGGCTTGGAGCAACTGGGGTGCTGGAGGAGACTGGGAGTGCTGGTCACCACAGGCTGGCCAGCAGCAGCTGGTGCAGGACAAAACACTGTCAGTTTTGACAGGGCCTGGGGAGGCTCAGATGCCATCTTGGGAAAGCTTGTGAATTACTTGCTGTGGCCTGGTTTGGTGCCTGAGAGAATGTCTCATCTGGGTACCATCCTGGTCTGCTCACCAGGTCCTCTCAGGTCTGGCTAACCAGAGCAGTTCTGGCTTTACTAGCAATGGCTTTGGTATCCCAAAGTCAAGGCCGAGCCCAGATGTAGACGGACTTTCCTTTCCCACAAGTCAGTTCCCAAATAACCACACAGAGACTTAATGTTAATTGTAAATGCTCAGCTGATAGCTTAGGCTATTTTTATAACTTAACCCATTTCTATTCATCTATGTGCTGCCCCAAGGCGTGTTTACCTCATTCACATATTTCCCATCCTGCTTGTTCCATGTCTATGGCACCTCCTCTGACTCTGCCTTTCTCCTTTCCAGCACTCTCTCTGCCCCCAACAGAGGACTATCCCACAGCATGCAGACACTTTCAGAGCCTGATGTCCTTGCAAGACTTCCCTGCCCAGCTGCACGTGGTGGGTGGGGACCTCCTTTCCCAAACCTTGGATTTCTTAAACCGTGAACCCTCCCTTGCCAGCCAGCTCCAGCATCCCCCAAGAGACCCTGGATTTCTGAACCCACAGGGAGGACCTCTGGCTCAGTGTCTCTCGAGTGACACTGGGACTTGGCCTGGTTGTTTTTAGGACTGCTGAGCCCTGCACCAACCCTCACTTCCTGTGCCCCTGCCCAGTGAGCCAAGATATTCCCGCTGAGGGTGGTTCTAGGGGACCAAGCCTGGAATGTCCCCTTCCTACAGACATCAAAGACCATGCTGTCTCTGTCCCAACTCCTCAGTTCTGCCACTTGATAGCACGGAAGTAGACGCTGTGTGCCAATAAAATTTTATTGACAGCCGGGCGTTGGTGGCACATGCCTTTAATCCCAGCACTCGGGAGGCAGAGGCAGGTGGATCTTTGTGAGTTCGAGGCCAGCCTGGTCTACAGAGCCGATTCCAGGACAGCCTCCAAAACAATACAGAGAAACCCTGTCTCGAAAAAAAAAAAAAAAACAAAAAACAAAAAACAAAAAAACAAAAACAAAAACCAAAAAAAAACAAAAAACAAAAGAAAAATGAAAGAATTTTATTGACATAAAAGAGCAAAGGGCCAGATTTGGTCTATAGTCTGTGGTTTACTCGCCTGTGGCTGACCTCTAGTCAATGGCCTATGGTTTTCTAACACCCTTTCTGTCTTGACATGCCAACTTAAGTCTGTTTTTAGATATTAGTGGCCCTGAGATAAAGGACCAAGTGGGGGACAAATAAGGCCACAGGGGTATCCGCAGCCTGGGTATGGGTCTCAGAGGTGGGGTGACTGCACCAGAGGCTGATCGATCTGTTGGCTTGCTAAAGAAACAGAACCAAAACTAGGCCTGGTGGCTCAGTGCTTGCAATCCCAGCACTGGGTGGTAGAGGCATCTCGACTATAGAATGAGCTTGAGGCTGGCCTGGATGACACGAGACCCTGTCTCAATCTGAGAAAAAAAATCAAAAAACCAACAGGTATTTATAGTCATATGCTTTTAAATAGCTATGTGTTTAGATATCATGCATATAAGTATCTGTGTATACATACCAACACACACTGCTTTGCTTTATTTTAAGCACTTGGCGTCTAGGCTGTGTGGACTGACAAGTCCACAATCTGTAGAACAGGCTGGCAGGCCAGAAGCTGAGGCAGAAGTTAATGTTGCCTGGGGCCAGATTTCTTCTCCAAGGCCTCCATTCCTGGTCTTAAAGCTTTCAACACAAGAAAAATGCCCATCAGAGGGGCTGTGAGCTTTGCTCCCCAGCCTGTCACACCTGGTCATGTGACAGGCAGTGCAGTTCCCAGCTCCTTTGCCGTCAGTCATCCCAAGCTTTGGGTGGTGGCAGTGGCTGGCGTTATTACCTGCGTGGGCCCCTGGACCCAGGACATGAAATCCCGGTCAGGGCTGGGATGGCAGAGGGAGTGGGCAGGAAATGACTAAACATTTTCTTCCTTTTCCATCTTTATCTTTCCTCTCACCTCGGCACCGCACATGCAGTGTCCTTCCAGGTGCACGCAGGGGACCAGAAGCAAGATGCCTGGACTCTTGGGGTCCCCGTGACCAGTCCGTGCAGCCTTGTACATGTGGTCCTGAACTGTCTTCCTGTGTCCTCAACCATAACCTTGGATGGGTGCTGGTACAGAGAGGGGATGCGTCCTTGCAAACACAGCCATGGAAAACGCCCATTGGAGGAAGCCCCCACCCTCCATGTAACTGAAAATGCTCAGGAGCTTTTCTCGAGAGAAGAGAGATCAAGGCACAGAGAAACTCAAGTGCTGGGGCTGGAATCAGACTCTAAAGCCAGACCCCTAGGTCTGTGAGCCCTCAGCCCCCAAATGGCACCCGTTCTCTGAGCACTTGCTAGGAGCAGATCACCGACACACACCCTCTCCTCCCCAGGAACCCGCAGTCCCACCTTCCCCCACAGGCTTCACCCTAGGGATCCTCCTGGGAGGCGCTTTCTCCCTCCTTCTCCTTCCTCATTCCTCTCTTATCTCTGCCTCCAGCATCTTACCACACTGTGCAAGGAAGGTCAACCTCCTGGAGACTGTGGGATCAGATACAAGGAAAACAAACACCCAGAGAAACTGGCAGCTGATGGGCATCTCGGGGTGGTAGGACCAGCGCCACAGCTACCCTTGTGTGTGTCTGCAGACAGAGCCCTCAGATGCTCCCAGAAACGGAAATTCCAGCACCATCCATGCGGAAAGATGGGAGGGCCAGACAGGGGAAGAAAGGCTGGGACCCGAGACCCTGAAGCTCAGCAGAGACTTGACAAGCTATGGGAGGCTGGAAGAGCAACAGGCCTTCAGGGAGGGCTCGCTACAGGGGCAGGTACAGGAATGCAACCAGACAAGATGCTTCGGTAAAACCTAGGGAGAACAAAACATCTAAGCACACACATATATTCATATACGCAAGCATTCACACACACATATACGAGCACACACGCACGGACACGCGAGCGCGTGCACACACACACACACACACACACACACACACACACACACGGGAGCACAGACACCTAATGAAAGGGAAAGGGAGCATCACTGAACAGACAATTGGAGAGCAGGCCTCTGTCCTCCAGGGTAATAACCTCTGTGGCTGCTTTCCTTCCACCAGTTTCCGGGAACACAGAGGAGCAGGGGCCGGTTCCCTATCTACCTTTCCCACAGGCCTTTGGGCTTGTCCCTCGCTGACTGTCTGGAATGCTGCAGTCCCTGGAGGAACCTGATTGCTAAGCGACTGGAGAAGCCCCGCTAGTGTAAGCCTCACTCCTTGGCAATAGGAAGCTGCTTTTGCTAAGCTGCGCTGACTTCACGCTTGGGTCCACAAGGTAACTAACAGCGGGACCAACGCCTGACCGGTCGGTTTTCATTCACACCGAGTGGCTCCTCATGTGGCTGGCCTGCTCGGAGGCACACAGGACACTCCAGGATCCCCACCTATCTCTTCCCCTTCATGGGACAAAGACAGGAGCAGCAATCCAGGTATCCTGTTGTCAGATTTATTTTTTAGACTATTTCCTGTGTCTGAGTGTTTTGCTACATGCATGTACATAACACTGCATGCATGCCTGGTGCCCAGGAAAGCCAAAAAACGATCCCCTGGAACAGGAGCACCAAACCCAGGTCCTCTGCAAGACCAGCAGGGGCTCTTGACCACTAAAGCATCTCTCTAGCCCCTCGCTATTAGCTTTTTATACCGTCCTGTTCCAGACTCTCCACGGGGCACCTAAAACGTCTCTTTCAGGGATCAGATGCACCCTCTTCTGGCATCCTTGGGCACTACACACACATGGTGCACAGACATACCAACAGGCAAACCCCCATACACATAAAACAAAAATAAAATCTTAAAACAACAACAAAGGACAGCTCTGCCTAACCATGCAGGCTCTCCTCCGGTCCTGTCAGACCTGAGGCCAAGAAACCCAGAGCCAGTGTGTGTATGAAGATCAGCACCATGAGGAAGGAGATTGAACCCAATGGGAAGACAGCCTCCATGCTGCTGAGGGGTCTCTGGTCCTTCTGAGAAAGGCTTCCTGTAGCTCCCCACTTCCTCACAGGTGTGTGCCCTTAGCTGGAGTTTGGGTTTATGTCCTTTGCTGTTTCTTCCAGCTTGACGGGTCCCCTTGGGAAAGGAAGTGGCTGGAACTTGTGTCACAGCTAGTGTCCCCTACCTCGTGGAGCACAGGACAACTGAGTAATTCTAAAGCCCTTTCCCGTTTGGAGCCTTCTGTAAGTCCCATGTGTCTTAGATCTAATGTCACTCACTGCCTCATTTAGGGTAAGTGACTCACTCAAGGACACAGACACCCAGTGGTAGAGGTAAGTTTTCTCCTCCACACACCTGTGCTGCAGCACACACACACACACACACACACACACACACACACACACACACACACACACACACACTTTCTCTCACATGCACACAACGTAATGTAATAAAAACAATTTTAAAATTCATCATATTGAGTTAGAGGCCAGCGTAGAACTCTGCCTCAGAGAGAGAGAGAGACAAAGAGACAGAGAGACAGAGACAGAGAGAGAGTATTTGAACTTGAATTCCAAAAGCACATTCACTGCATGGCTGGCTCTGAAGCCTATGGGACGTGGGGCCG